CTAATCTCGATTAAGTATTGTAATGATATATTATGAAGATGACTCTTCTAACCCAGTTCATTTCATTTTCAATGTCAATCTTTGAATCCTAACTCAATATTTCTTATCATAATATCGACTCTTCGAATCCAATTTATTTCATTTACAACGTCGAATTTAAACCCTTAATATTACTTAAAAATCTATTATTTCTTCCCATAAATCAATTAATTGTTGATCGCTAAATAATATCATTAATCCTTCATTGTACCATAAATATCTAACACATATACTTATTTTTTTAATTAATTTTGTCAAAAACATACAAGTAGACCACTTGCGGTTGGTCCGTCTCTGGTTGTGTGAATGCATCCTTTAAAGGGACCACTCAAACTAAGTCACTTGACTCAAAGAAACTATACCATTATTATTTCTATAATTTTGTGGGACCCCTTTGTCCTTTCTCTTTTACCTACCTAAAATTATTTTAATTGATTTATATGAGGTAATAATATATTAAAACTGTCGAACGTGATTATTAGCACAATTATCAAATCTTAAGCAAAAAGATTAAGAGACTTGACGAGAGGTTGGCAGCTTTTATTTTGTGGAGGGCTCCATCCACTTTATAGTTTTGGACGTAGTGATATAAAAAAATAGGCTAAATTATACTTATAGTTCCTAAATTTTTAGGTAATTGCATTTTGTTCACTAAAGTTTTAAAACATTGATTATTATAACTATTTTTTATTAAGCTAAGGTGATTACAAAGAAGTATATGTTATAAATACTCTCAACTATTTGACAATAAACACTCAATCACCCCGCTGCAACCACTGATGCTCGAACATGTGATCTCTAGAAACAACAACGATTCCTTTAACCATTGAGGTAAATTGGTTCGTGCATTGTAACTTAACTTTTAGTTGATGTTTAATATATGTTCTTGCATAATTTATACTTTATGTAATAAATAATATATTGTTTCAAATTAATAACAGGATATTAAAATTTAAAAAGCATATAGATCAAAATTAACCGAGTTGTAACACATAAATTAAAGAGAAAATAATTTCAGTGACCAAAAATACCTTATAATATACGATTTTAATCACTTTTTTTGGATTTGCCAAAATGACCAACTAAATCGCAATGCGATCGATAATTCGCAACGCGATCTCCGGTATCGCAAATCAGTTTCCAGATTCGCAACGCGAACTTCGACTATCGCATTGCGATTTACATATTCGCATTGCGATAGTCCAAGTTCGCGTTGCGATAGTTGAAGTTCGCGTTGCGTTGCGATTTTTCAAATTCGTTGCGATAGTCCAAGTTCGCGTTGCGATTTATTCCAAATTCGTTGCGATAGTCCAAAATCGCAACGACTGGTAGTATTGCATTTGTTTCTTAAGAATTTTCTCTAAAAAGATAGTATTCGCGCGGACGTGTCGAAGAAACGTATTACCACGACCACGACCACGACCACGACCACGAGACGAGACGGCGGCGGCGGCGCACGAGAGTCCCTCTTGTTCTCTATCACTCAACAAGGAAGTGGGAAAGCCAAGCCTTAAATACCATTCCCAATAGTGTTTCCAATACTATGTGGGATTGAGCATTACCAACACTTGTTCCCAATACTATGTGATTATTCAGGAAACAATTAACAATCATGCACCTTAAAACAACTGAATCAGCAACCAATTGCATTAGTATTATACGATTAAATATGTCATAATTAAAAGTCAATCTACAATCAATCGCGATTATTGCAATTTTAAGCAAAACATTCAAAAAAAATTGCATCACTCGCGAGAATAAAAAAAATTGTTATCTTGCAATTACAATCAATTGAAAATAAATTAGAATTACATGAAAAATAAACGAACCACAAATACTTTTCATACAAATACTAAAGTCATTAACTATAATTCACAAATAATATCACTATTTAAGGCTCAATCCCACATAGTATTGGGAACAAGTGTTGGTAATGTTCAATCCCACATAGTATTGGAAACACTATTGGGAATGGTATTTAAGGTTTGGCTTTCCCACTTCCTTGTTGAGTGATAGAGAACAAGGGGGACTCTCGCGCGCCGCCGCCGTCCGTCTCGTCTCGGGTCGTGGTCGTCGTGGTCGTGGTAATACGTGTCTTCGACACGTCCGCGCGAATACTATCTTTTTAGAGAAAATTCTTAAGAAACAAATGCAATACCACCAGTCGTTGCGATTTTGGACTATCGCAACGAATTTGGAATAAATCGCAACGCGAACTTCGACTATCGCAACGAACTTGGAATAAATCGCAACGCGAACTTGGACTATCGCAACGCGAACTTGGACTATCGCAACACGAACTTGGACTATCGCAACAAATTTGGAATAAATCGCAACGCGAACTTGAACTATCGCAACGAATTTGGAATAAATCGCAACGCGAACTTGGACTATCGCAATGAATTTGGAAAATCGCATTGCGATAGTCGAAGTTCGCGTTGCTATAGTCGATGTTCGCGTTGCGTATCTGGAAACTGATTTGCGATACCGGAGATCGCGTTGCAAATTATCGATCGCATTACGATTTAGTTAGTCATTTTGACAAATCCAAAAAAAGTTGGTTAAAATCGTAACTGAGATTATTTTCTCTAAATTAAATCCGTAATTTATACGTGATACAAGAGCTAACAATAAAATTTGAACAAAAATACAAATTTAAATAACAAAAAGTATGGAATTTTTTTTAATGATTACGGGTACTCATAAAAAGTTGATTTGGTAACGCATATAATTATAAAATACAGAAAAGGACGAATTTTTGTACAAATTGTAACGCATAAAGGGAAAAGATAAGGTGCTACCAGCTCGAACCTTTGTTTTATACGACAAATTTTGAAACAGAAAATCCAAATTAATCATAATTAATAAAAAGAAATTTGGGTATTTAGTGTTTGGACATGGTGACTACTTACCAACCAACAGCTAGGTTTTGTTGCTTTTGATCATGCATGAAAAAAAACAATGAAACCACTATTTTCCCTACTTTTTATATTTTTATTCATTTTCATTTTATAAATTTTCATATCAAATATGTTGTTTGATGATAATTCTTTATATATATTGTGAGAATTCAAGTTTTTTTATGTTAAATTATAATAAATTTACTATGACAATTTTTTTTAACGTTTCTTAAATAATATTTGGTATTTAAATTCTTATAAGTAAAAAATAAATTGAGAAAGTTTATTATTATTTAAAATTTTGATTTAACTCGACTTAATATATAATATATAGTGAATGTGATATTAGAAAAGTGAGGTTTAAGTTAAAGCCAAGTACTAGTTGTTAAAGTATCTGTAATAATATCATGGAAAAGTATTGACCAACACAAGTAAAGTTGGCATATAATTAATAAAAAATAAAAGTTGGCATATAAATAAACAGGATAAACTACGTATTTAGTATCTAAACTATCAGTTTTAGTATGTTTTAATATCTAAACTTTCAATTTTTTTCAAAATCGTACCTAATGTGTAGTTTTTGTTTCATTTTAGTACTCGGTTAAAAACTTAATGTTAAATTTAAAAAAAATTGAAAATTTAGGTATTAAAACGGACCAAAACTGATAGTTTAGGTACTAAATGCGTTAAGTTTTTAATGGTGGAATACTAAAATGAAACAAAATTTAAACGTTAGGTATAGTTTTAATTTTTTTTGAAAGTTTAGGCACTAAAAACATATTAAAAAACTGATAATTTATGTATTAAACTTGTAATTTATGCATATAAATAATACCTATCCTTACTTATAATATGTTTTAATTTAATCATTGACAAAGTAAAAATATTTAACATAAATTTATATGAATATAAAATAAAATTGTTCCAAAATATAAAAATATTATTGATTTAAGCTCAATAAAAATCGACATTGGTGCGATATTGACTACTATAGTTATATCTTTTAAATAATATATATGATTTAAACTCTAATATTGTGAAAAGAATACACTGGAATGAAAGATTTATCTCTACAACAAACATTACAAATGATCTAAATTAATTAATCAATAAATCAAAAAATTAATTATACTAAAAAAGTTAAATTAATAATATGTATATAAATTAATCAATCAATTTATTTTACTGTTTTTATGAACTGTTGTGACCTTAAGCTCATATTTTTGAAAAATTATTAGATGGTCCTGACCCATCACGTCATTCGTGGTCTCAACCAATTATAATTTATCATCTCTTTTTTCCAACTTTCTTATGTATAAATGAAGAGTCGGCAATTAATTTAGAATTTGTGACTATCATTCATAGGATCATGAATGACATGTTGAGCCAGGACTATAAAATAATTTCTCCATATTTCAAGTGTGCAATATTATTTCGGTCGAATTCCTTAAAAGATCCCTCCACTACATATTTTCTCCGGGTTTTATCCATCTCTTATAGTTTTAAATCATTCCTAGTTTACTTGTTTATGAATATGTATTTACATTATCGTCGGACAACAATTTTACAGAAAAAGTCAAGACGAAGATGTCATATCATCACACGTTTTTAAAAAATATATCACATCAAATTATCTTATAAAATTAAGAGAAAAAATTATTACATAATTTATAGATTGTCGTTGTACGAATAAAAGTTATTCTAAATATAATAGATTAATCGTTTTCAAGAACTTACATCGACGGAAAAGTATAACACCTCGATGTCGACTCTTCACCACTTGCGACTATCATATGTTATAAGGTTTGGGCAAATCGCTCGTTAAACGATACATGATTATATTCAGAATGTTATGTGACAGTTCGGTCCATATCTAATGTGGACGTTAGAGCATTAAGAGGATCTTTCCCTAATATGAGAGGATCGGGAAGGGCGATACATATTTAGAAACAAACAAATAATGGAGGGACCTTTATAGAGTTTGACCTATTATTTATCTCCCTGAATGCCTGTCAGTCTGCCGAAGGCCGCCCCCTCCATTCTTTATATACGAAGCTTCCTCCATTTTTCTCTGTACTTCAACTCAAACACAAAGCCCCTTTCTCTTCTTCAACAATCTCCTCTCTCTCTCTCTCTCTCTCTCTCTCTCTCTCTCTCTCTAATTCAAAGCACTTTGAATTTTAGAGTTAAGTATATTCATGGCGAAAGCTGGAAAACTAACGAAGCTCAAGTCTGCAATAAAAAGATGGCCGTCTCTAAAGAAACTGACCCGCACCGGCAGCGCCATAGCGGCGTCGGATTCCGAAGAGAAATCGAATTACCCGAGGGGTCATCACCCAGTTTATGTCGGCAAGTCGCGGCGGAGATACCTGGTAAGGTCGAAGATCATCCGCCACCCTCTGTTCCAAGAGCTGGTAGATAGGTCCGGCGGCAGTGGCGGCGGTGATGACGACGGTGATTTCGTGGTGTCTTGCGAAGTTGTTTTGTTCGAGCACTTGCTTTGGATGCTCGAGAACGACGGAGCTCAGTCGGGTTCCATGGAAGAGCTGGTCGAGTTCTACACTTGCTAACAAAAAGAATGAAAATAGATGATGCATATGTCGAATTTGTAAAAAGATGAAGGGCATGAAAGAAAAATAATTGGAATTTAAGAAGTGTTAGGAAACAGGAAATGCACTTTTGGGGACGATGAGGTGATTAATCCATAATTTGATTTTAGCTGCAGGAGGATCAACGTTGCTCATCAACAACTTTCGTAAGAATTAATTTGCTTTTATGCTCTGTTTTTAAAAATTTTAACATTCTAGTCCATTCTCTTAGCCATGTTCAGGACTAAATGCTTGTAATTTGTAAGAATGTCGATGTCATTTGTTTATTATGGTAAAAATTGGTTGAGAAATGGAAATTTGGCTGCTTCCCAATCTTCTTTCTTTCTTTCTTATATATATTGGATACTCAATTATGATTAATTAATCCAAAAATCAATTCACCAATAGTATGTAATTTTATTATTTATTCAATGTTCATAAATTTTAATACACTAAATATATATCCTTTAATTTTATATTTATACATAGTTAGACAAAGTGAAATGAGACCAAATTCTCAAAGCTTTGTGGTAGCAAAAGATATGGCCGCCTCAGTTTAGGCCCTTAAAAGCAAAAATATTGTGTGACTATATATATTATCAAGAAAAACAATAATTTGAATATTTAATGTGACTATATATAATAGTTTAGTTTAATTTTTTTTATACCAAACATCTCAAAAAAAATTAATAGATAATTTAGGTCATAAGCAGGATGAACCTAAAAGGAGAGGACGAATGCAGCCTCCTATGGAAAATTTAAATTATCATATATTTTAAATAAATTTTCATATAGAAATAATCTATTTTTTGGTTTTAAAAATTTTATAGATTAGTTTCTTCTAAAATTTTAAAAATTAATTCTCTAATGCAAAATTATATGTTTGTTTTTAGTTATAATACTATGCTAGCGTCGAACTCAGATGAGTGTGATGCCAACATATCAACAAGGTCAGTCTTTTTCTTCCACACATTTAAGATTTTGCACATAAAAAAACTTCTGGAATTATGTCGACAACAGCTCAATATGTGTCATCATTTATCCAAAGTCTAGACTATGGTTCTTGATGCAATTTAGATAGTTATTTTCAGGGGTGAAATCGAGAATTTCAAGATACAATACAATAGAATTATAAAATTTTAGGGATTAAAATTAGAATAATTACATTAAGAGCCTTTAAATTAAACAAAAGGCTAAAAAGACATTGACTTGAAAAATAAGTCAAAGATTTAATTTTTCCCATTTAACCAAAAAGTAAAAGAATATTTTAAGTTAAAATATTATTATTACTGGTTACACTTTTCTTCCCTATATGAAAGCTATTAATAGGTTTCATCTTGCACCAATCAAATTTAACAAAAATTGTTCTTAAAAATTACGAATTTAAATACTAATAACTGCAGTAGAATGATTAACATTCATTATCAAATAATTAAAATTATTTAGAATATATATTATTTTATAATTATTTTAACTTAATAAAAAAATAAGTTTCGTCTTAAATTATTTACACCAAAGGACAAGAATTCGGTTTGGTCGGCGTATATTATCGCAAATAAATAAGAGATTTTTCATGAGTTGGGTAGAGCACCAAACGCAATTAACCCAATGTGATAGTGGGACAAGAAACATAATTAAAAAAAATTAGGTTAACCTGTCAGAAATGGGCAAGGCTTAAGAAAAAATTATATTTTTAATTAATTACTGATATTCGATCTATTAACCGATTAATACAGATCGGGTACCGCAGAGGTGAGGGCGACCCTCCCAACCCAATTTGCTCCATTAGCAAACGTCAGGATTCGAACCTCTAACATTGCTTAAAGGACCTAATGCCGCATCCTACTAGATCAACTTATTGTTGGTAAAGTTTTATTTTTTAAATGAACATAATTACAGCTATTTATAAAATATGTTTGACATAAATAACTTATTTTTTTTCGTAAAATTAAATTAATTAGGGGATGATTAGTGTTTTAAGGATCACATGATTGAGTAGTTGGAGAAGATACTTTTGTAACATCCACGCATTAATATTTTGCAATAGTCCACACTATTACTTTATCATTTTCCATTTATTTGTTCGAACTTAGAGTTTGAGTATAATTTAAATTTAGGGTAAAATATATAAGTAGTCCCCCAAACTTTTTAGATGCTTACATTTTGGTCACCTAACTTTTAAAACTTGCAATACAACCATTGAATTTTTAGTTCGTTTTTAGTAAGGTTCTTGACGTTACATCCGTTAGTTTTATCTTACGTGGCACCGTTAACCCTTTTTCTTCTCCACTTAACCCTTCTCCTCCTCCTCCTCCTCACTAAACTAAAACCCCCCAAAAGAAAAAAGGTCATTTTTTCTGTGAATTTCTCACGTGTAAATAGAAACCGCCTCTTTCCATATGGAAATTCCCCGCAGAATAACCAGCTTTGTCTGCATAAAATCTGAAGTTCATGAAGAAAATTTTGATATCAAAGAAATGAACAAAAAGTAAAATAAAAACTAACCACAAACAGTACACACAGCCAAGCACCCACAGGTAGCTAGCTGTAGAAGGTAGCCATCCATAAATAATTTTCAAACAAGAGAGGGTAGAGAAATAGTCACAAAAAGGCCTTAACAGACCAAATAAAAAACGATGTGAGCTGGGGATCGGCATTTATCATGATAATATTAGAAAGGTATGATAATTTCAATTGTCTTACTTTTCCTAATATGCCAATCTAACATGTAATAACTCTATTACAAGCCTATCTAAATCTGTAAATCGTTAGTACCTGTGTCGCGGCCGTCTTTTGGGTAGGCCCCAGAATTGAGTTTCGACTTGAAATGTTTGGGTTAGAGTCGCCACCGAGCATTTTAAAATGAATTTAGGTGGGTCAGATACCATCTTATTTGATTTGCGTTGTACCATAAACGTGTCAGGTTCGGGAGTCGGTTACGGTTAAGGAATGATTAACACCCTTGAACTTCTCTTTCGATACCAATTAATTTGTCGGTTGTCTTAGTTGCGAAAAATTAAAATTTAAAAGTATTCGATTCAAATTACGTACCTTTGATTAGTTGCGAATTTTTCTATAAGTTAAAATATTAGAGAAAATAAGTAAATAAAAAATAACTACTAAATAAATCAAAAGAAAAAAATAAAATAAGAAATAAATAAATAAATCAAAGAAAAAATAAAATAAAATAAAAAACAAATAATAAAAAATAAACTAAAAAAAGGGAAAAATGATGATGAAAATATTAAATAAACCAAAAAAAATATAAGATGAAAGAAAATGAAAGAAAAAACATAATAAGAAGTAAGTAGTATAATAATAAATATATATATGAAAAAACACAAATAAGAAAAATGTAATAAATATATACAAAATAAATCAAAGAAAATAATAAAATAAAACTAAAATAAAAAATAAACTAATATATATATATATATATATATATATATATATGAATGTAAATCAAATAAAAAATATTAAAAATAATAATAATAATAACAGAATAATAAAAAAAAGAAAAAAAAAGAAAAAAAAAACAATAATATACTAATAATAAGATATGCATGAGTGACGAAATTAGAAGAAAATAAAAATGGAAGGTCGAATTCAAAAATCATCAAAACTTGACATAATATGTAAATTAGTGACTTAAATAAAAAATAAATAAAATTAAAGGCTCAAAATAAAATAAACCAAACCTTCGTTAGTTGGCTAAAAAGTAAGATTACAGGGGATAAGTGACCTACAGGGTTATTACCCCTAATGTGGAAACACGTCATATGGAGGGAACAAAACTACACCGTTTTGATTAATACCAAAACGACGCCGCTTCATTTAATAGATATAAGCCCTAAAATGGGCTCAAATTCTCACATTCCTCTCATTTTTCAAGTTCTCCCTCTCTCTCTCTAGCCGATTTCTCTCTCGTCTATCTCTAAAGAGATCTCCACCGGTTGAAAACTGGCTGCCAGCCGGCCATCGCTGTGTGCCGCTCCGACCACCATTACCAACGGTCGGGGATAACCCAAAACCATAAAAACTCTCCTCTCAAAACCATGAACCCGAATCCGCCTCCTAAATCACCAAAAATAAACCCAATAAACGTAGATATAAAAGAAACCCTTCGACACCTACCCTTCTCCGGTGACCTTTCCGCTTCCGATGGCCCTTCGTGGCTTTGTTCGACTGGTTCCTCTCGGTTCTCGTAGATATAACGATGTTTTGTTTTTTTGTGGTTTCTTTTTTGTCTTGCAAATGGTTTTTTCTTTTAAAAGAAATGTGGGTTTCGAATGTTTTGGTTTTCTGGGGTTTGTTGATGTGTTGTATATTCTGTGATTTGCTTTTGGGTATCTTGTGGCTCTTGGTTTTTTGTGGTTTTATTGTTGTGATCTTTGTTCTCTGTTGATGGTGTTTTGGGACTGTGCTATTTGTGTATTGTTGATGTTTCGTATCCTAGTTGGCCGGTGATGGTGGGGGTATTTATACCCCACCGCCGTTGGGTCGTTTCCGTTCTTTTCGGACTGTTATTTACTTGACCGGCTAAAACGGGATGGTTCTATCCCAATTTAGCTGGGACTCGCTGCTCGTGGTCGGATACTTCGTATGGTCTCTTGGCGACTGTTGACTATCTCTGTGCAACGCCTGACGAACGTTGGAAACCCTAGGATTCTTGTTTCTGTACCGAACCATAACCGTATTGGACCCAAAACAGATATTTGACTTGGACCTTGCAAAATAAACATAAATAATAATAATAATAATAAAATAAAATAAAAATATAATAATAATAATAATACTATTGCATATATAAAAATATTTTCAAAAACATATAATATAATTTCCAAAATGTTTTTTAAAAGCTATATATTATACGTATTTTTAAAAATGTTTTAAAACTATATAATATATATTTTCAAAAATATTTTTTAAAAAAACTATATATTATATATATTTTCAAAATGTTTTTAAAATCTATATAATATATAAATGTTTTCAAAACTATATATTATATAAATTTTCAAAACTATATATTATATAAGTTTTCAAAATGATTTTAAAAACTATATATTATATATGTATTTTCAAAAATCGTTTGCAAACTATATAATATATATATGTATAAAATAAAAAAATATG